TTTAAATTTTCCCAAGCATGCCCAAGTAAATATATACTTTTCCAGCTATACTTTAAGTAGACTTCCTTTCTAGTTTGATGTTTAAAAGTAATGCTTTCATCTCACAATTCTAAGAACTTTTCTTTCTTTCTTTTTTTTTTTTTAATGTTTATTTATTTTTGAGACAGAGAGAGAGAGCACGAGCTGGGGAGGGTCAGAGAGAGAGGGAGACACAGAATCCGAAACAGGCTCCTGGCTCTGAGCTGTCCACACAGAGCCTGATGCGGGGCTCAAACCCATGAACTGTGAGATCATGACCTGAGCCGAAGTCGGACGCTCAACCGACTGAGCCACCCAGGTGCCCCTAAGAACTTTTCTAAATAGGTCACTAATAATGGTAAGGTCCATTTAAGCACACTCCACTGAACTTACTGTCGTAGAAACTAACGGACTTTAACAAACTGGTCTGTTTTTCACATTCAGCCATCTCTAAGCACTTCTGAGGTCATTTTACTCCACACACATACCACCAATCCTTGAGGTTTCTTTCGTGCAAGTTCTGATGAGGCCTTAGAGGAAAAACTATTTGCTTCTCCCCAAAGACAACTCTTCCCCATCCTTAGGCAACAAGTAACATTTGGTGAATTAAGCTAACTCTTACAAAATTTAACTGTAAATATAACCAGATGCTAGACTAGGATGCCAAAGGAACATCTGAGAACTTCTAAGAAGGCTGAAAGACAAGACAGCTACCTTCTGCAAAAAAAAAAAAAAAAAAAAAAAAAAAGGAGCTGCTGACAGAGAAGGCAAGGCATGGGCTACAGGGGTACCTGCACACCCGGAAACATGCATGTAAAAAAGGGAGCACCGTGCGAACATGTACTCGTGATGGGAGACGATCACAATCTGCCAAACAAAGGCCTTTGTGTAGGCAAAGTGGGGTGAGAAAATGGTTCCTATTCCTTTAAGATACATGAAGACCCTGTTGGGGTGAAGGAGTCCACCATGCCTTCTTCCCGAGATCTCACAAATACAAATGCATGGGGCAGTTTATTAACTTTTTCCTTAGAAATGGTTAGGTTTCTCTAGTATTATAATCAGCTTCAATACTGATCTCATTTCACACAGAAAAATTCTTTTTCTCTTGCTTTCCTTTATCTTCAATTTCTTCCACTTCTACCGACCTCTCTAAAATTTTAACCACTTTGAAATTTGTAGAAATGAGTATAGCCATGTGTCCTCTGGTGGAAGAAAAAGAAAAGAAACCACTGGGACTGATACTAACATTTACCCCCAACGTGAGGCAGCCCCAATTACCAAGTGACAGCTGCACCTTCAGAGCCTAAAAAGTCTCCAGGGCACAGGCACCTTGGTCATCTTCCCACAGGGGAAGACTGGGGAGACAGGAAATTAGGGGTTTTGTTTGTTTGTTTGTTTAAAGGAAAGGATAAATTCTAACCTTAACTGTTTGACTGTGACTCCTACATGCTAAAATAATCCATTATGCACATTAAAGAAAAAAACCACGAGAATATGCTATTGTTATGATGGCACCAAAGGCCTATTAAAAACAAATCTTCCCTGGGGCACCTAGGTGGCTCAGTCGGTTAAGCATCTGACTTCAGTTCAGGTCATGATCTCACAGTTTGTGGGTTCGAGCCCTGTGTTGGGCTCTGTGCTGACAGCTAGCTCAGAGCCTGGAGCCTGTTTCAGATTCTGTATCTCCCTCTCTCTCTGACTCTCCCCTGCTCACGCTGTCTCTATGTCTCTCTCTGTCTCAGAAATAAATAAAAACATTTTAAAAAATTAAAACAAAAAACAAATCTTCCCTAAGAAATTTTCTTTCTTTCAAGTTTAACTAAAGTAGCACACCAAACCACAGACAAATGTATCTTGCTTTTACCAATCGTTTGTTAAGTTTCTTTGAGGTCGAAATGAAGAAGTATAGACTAGGAAACGGAAACTTAGTGAAATATGTAACAGGTTCAAAAAACATCTGAAGTACACCAACTAACATGGCAATCTTAACTTAGACTGCTGATCAGGTGGTCTCTTCATATTTCTATTAAAATTAGATGAAGAATGAGAAAACATGCTAATCAAATATGTGGATGTGGTGGGAGTAGGAAGAAATAGTTAACAGGTACCAAATCCAGATTCAATGAAAAAAGAGCATGAACCATTAGGATAAGACAACAATACAATGAAATAGTCTTCCTTTGTGCCCAAGAAAATACAACAAAAGAAAGAATGGAAGAAAAAGCTGGCCTGTAAACAATTTTTATGGAGGAAAAAAATGAGCTAGAAGCAACAATTCTATTTGAGCCACACGTGTGATGATGCAGCTAAATATGAAAAGTAATATGGTAACATTAAAATTTTTGAAGCTGGGTCATTACCACATGGGGTTTCGAATATGGATGAAATATTTAGAAGAGGCGGAGAAAACCCTGAGTGGATCCTGATGAGAAAGACTAGAGAGCAGAGTCGAACACTTGAGGAGCTGTGAGGTCCAGAGAAGCAGTGGACGAAGCTGCCAGTACAAACTTGGCTGCCTGAGCTCGGCATTCTCCCCTTTTCAGCCTGGGACCATCCAAAAGCAACAAGGAAAATGGAAAACAGAAACAGAAACCTCATTGTCAGCCAAACTCAGAGACAAGACTCGAAAATATCTGCAACGGCTTCTAAGATCTCCAGTTCATGCAGAAGCCAAGGAGGAGGGAGCAAAAGAAAACAAAGGAGAGCAATCCTATCAGCATATTTCAAGGAGCAAAGGAAGAGGGGAATATATACACATATAGGTTTTTTATAAAGATGAAGGATCTATGCGGGGCAAAAGAACTAACCTGCAAAGAGGGCTCAGAAATAGAAATGGTGGGGTGGCAGGAGTCCTTAGCGCCAATAAGTCTGATCTTGTGGCAGGTGCAAAGAGAGGAAAACCTATACTCAGTTTCCCTACAACCTTGACTCCTGGGCCATTTCTTTTTGCCAGGCATCGACGACAGGTATTTGTCATCTCCTTTCAGGTTTAACTGTCATTTATCTTATTACTGAGGCTAACCATCTTTACCTACTTTGTTAATAACAAAAGGAATCCCTGTTCCCCACATAGTTCTGATTGAAGGTTTAATGCCAATAAAGGGATAAAAATCATTTATGAGCTCAAATATTCCCATATTACCTTCTGGGATCTAGAGTGCAGACAATGCTTAATTACTGTGGGTTAGTAAAAAGGTGCTAGACCACTAAGAACCCAAATCAGTGGATTCTACTCACGTGAATGTTCCCTGTTTCATACCTAGCTCCACCTTTCCTGATTAAGAGGTGCCAAGAGATGACTCAGTTTGAATTTTTACTTAGAAGGTGAAATTAAGGGGCGAACTAGAGCAAATACAGAGCAAAGCTCTCATTCAGTAGAATCCTTAATCTTCTAGTCTTTACTTTAACTAACAAAACAAAATGGCTGTAAAACTTCAGTGCCTCTCCTCTAGGCAGTGCTGGCCTTCACTTTGTAATCCTCACTCCCTACTGGGCACAGAAGATGGATAAGGGACACTTATCTCACTACCACTTGGCCTGAAGGCAATTTCCGTGGGATGTGTTACAAATGAGCTTGAGCTGAAGTTACAAATCACCAAACTAACCTGTATCATGTCCTCAGGGAAAGTATACCCCAGGATTTAAATGGACAGTGGAGAATACCACATAAAGAAACAATTAGAAATAGCCAGAACCTCAAAACTCAAGCATTCTTATACACAAAGTCCATGGTCAACAGGCAACCCTGAAAAACCCTGGACTACCTCTGGGTTTCTGTTATGTTCAGAGAACATGGAGAAAGTCTTAAAACTACAAAAGAGTTTGCAAAGAAGCCACAAAAAGAGTTATATAACAGTGATGTTGTCCCTCCTACAGGGGAAGGTTCTGTCCTATGTTTTTTTCCACAAGCTCAGGGTGAACTTTTCCATTCTCCTTAGAGAGACAGGCACTAGTTTTCTAAACTCAGGGCAAAGTATAAGGTTTTCCGAACTCAGACTACAAAACACACAAAACAAAGATTCCCCTCAACCCAAATATACTCTTAAATAACTTGGGTAATATCATGTGCTGTTATCTACATTAAATTCTACTGTTTAGTATCAGTACAGGGCTTTCTTGTTGTTTTGGGTTCTTTTTCTGCCATAAGAAATATGAAGCAATAAGGTGTATGAATTAAGTGGAAACTACTATGAATGAGAAACTGGGAGCTGTAGTATCATAAATGAGAAATTTGGAGCTATGAGACTATGAAAAGTAGTTCGGAAAATAAAATCAAAAGGTTTTTTCAGCCCCAAGTGAAAGAGTCTATCGATTACAAACGAAAAAGCTGTGGGTAACCACATCACCAGTGGTGCTCAGTATTAAGGAGTTAAATGAGCAGCAGGCAGTACAAAATGTATTTCCCCACCACAGGATTTAACTAATCCTGCTAAGTAACAATTAGATTACAGAATGGCATTTGTATTATACCCAATGTAATTCTTTTTTCATCCCTTACTCTAATATTTACCTAAAGTTAAGGCATTTATAAAAAACTAAAGTTAAGGTGTTTGTACAAAAAAATGTTTTTCCTGTGAAAAAGTCTGAAGTTTCAGAAAAATGTGTACACACGAACTTGGATCCAGAGGCCAACAGAAGAAAAGAAGTCCAGTCAAGCCTGAGCTGGCCAACTTAAACCACAACCAGAAACAGCCTTTCCAGAACTGGTATGATGCGGTCTCTGGGACCCTGCTGCTCGGCACCTAGCACAATGGAGCAGGTCCTTCAGTTTTTACAAGCAAGGAGAACATTTCAAAGATCTCAAGGAATGTGAAGGCCTGCCAGTCCAAAAGCATAGATAGAAGCTTTTCTTCTGAAGTTAGCTGACTAGCTAAGCCAGGGGAAAGGTATTCCATTGGGAGGCTACAAAACACTCCTTTGAGTGTCTGGCTACCAGTTTGAATAAAGAAGAGAAAACCAACTGGACATTTTCTTTTTCTTACCTCTTCCAGCCTCCGCCTCTGTTCTTTCTGCTGCTCAATCCGTTTCTGCCTCTCTGCCAGCAGCTGCCTTTTATATTCTTCCTGCTCCCGGAGCTGCTGCTCCTGTAGTAACTGCTGTCTCCGAAGAGCCTCGGAACGTTCCTTGTTCTCCTGCTGCAGTCTCAGGAAATCCCGACGAAGCGTTGACTCACCAGGCACGTTGACGATAGAGCTGTAGGAAAAGGCAGAGCTTTCAGTTGTTCTCACAGATCACTCTGCCCTCTGGATGAGACAGCGGCCTCAGCATGCTACTCCATTTCTCACTCATCTTCTTAATGAGTTCCTTCCACTCTGGGATCAACCAATAAACCCACAGGAATAACTGTATCTACAAATCAATAGCACTATATCCTTCATCCGTTTCTGTCCGCGATGTTTGCGTGACAAGACATCTCTCTAACTCTGGAGTCTCACGTCAACTCAAACTCTGTAAAAGCAAAGTTGAAATCCTCTTCTCCCACTTCATTAGTCCCTCTCTGACCACCTTATTTCCCACCAGTATAAGCAACATCACGTTTTGGGTCTGCCAGGATAGAATAATCGGAGTAATCGTCAGTATTGCCTTCCCTTCTTCTTCATCTGGTCCACCAAGTCTCCTCATGTATGCTCTCCCACTGCCTATTTTCAGAGTAAGCAGTTGAGCCCAAGTGGGTCCCAGGAATGAGCCACTGCACAGATAATAAACAGCATCATTCCTAGCTGGTCTTCCTGCTGAGAGCCACTGCTCTACTTCCAGTGTCCACAAATAACAGGGCAAATCAATCTTCTTAAACCACTCTCCCCTTCTATCATGCTCCTATCCAAAACAATTATATTTCTCATGAAATCGGTTCAAATTACTCCAAAATATTAAATCTCAAACGGATTCAAATATTCTCCTATGTAGAAGAAAAAGACATTTTGGAGTTTTATCAAAAGATTTTCTCATCTCTTCATGTGCTCTCTTCAAACCCCTATTGCCCACACATGGGTCTCCACAAGTCTCTCAACATGCCCCTCCAGCCTCATTTTGTTCAGGAAGTTCTGTGTAGCTAAAGCACAAAGGACTGCCAGGCAAAACCACTGTTAAAATTTTTAAATCCCATATCCCCTGAATAGTTACTATATGGTTCATACTAGCAAACCTTCAACCTTCCGCTTCACTGTACCTTGGGAAGCCACAGATATCCAAAACATAAACTAGCAGAAGGGTCGGGACATTATATACACTTGTAGAAAAATGCAATACTAGTAACCACACTTGTGGGAAGAACAAAACAAAACAAAAAACATTTTGGGAAAGACTGCAGTGTTTTTCAATGGAAGCCCTCCTGGCCTACGAGCAGGACAGCCCTTTGTGGGCTGCACAGCATTTACCATCCATGCCTCCTGGAACAGTAAATGCCAGTGGTAAGCTCCCTTTCCCCAGAACCAAACACAACCCTACACACTTCCAAATGACCAGTGGAGGGGAAAGAGGGCAATCTTGGTAAAGCACCACTGGATAAGAGGATCCAGAGGGGGAAAATGTTCATAGGAATCTTTCTAAGAATGAAGAGATTAAGGTACTGTCAAAGTACTTTAAGATTTCTTCGAACTACACAGGCATCTTTTGACATCCTGGCATTAGTGTGAAACAATGTCTTCATAAAGCAGGAAGCTGAATAGTAGTTTCATCATTACCTTGGCTCTCCTTCCTGCTCAGGCACTTCCTCCTCTTCTTCCTCACTCCCACTGTATTCATATTCGGTTTCATCTATGAAGGACAAGATAAATGGAACAGCTCACAAATCATGACACATGCATGTATAGGCAAGCATCTCCAAGAGCATTATGGCAGAAAATAAATGATATGTTCCTCATGAAAATAACCATATATACAGGGAAGCTGGGGGAAGAGCACGGTGACACCAATTCCCTGGGCCACCCTTATTCCCCATGGAAGAGCAGATTCCACTGCATTCAAGACAGTCCCTAATGGGATGCACTGGTGAGGGGGTACAGGGCTGTGAGAGGTGCTCTCAAGTTCTTGACACTCAAGAAAAGTGGCTCCAATGCGTCAGCAAATCAGCCAAGTCATCCTGATGCCAAAATGCAAAAGGGACTAACTGCCCAAACTAAGGCAATTATTAGGAGACATCATCTGGTTACTGTTGGCACTCAGGAAGCCACGCGGAGTGCAGAGAGAAAGGTCTGCAGGACAGATGAGTGACATGCAGGAGGTACTTGGAGCATTAAGAGACAAAATCCAATGTCCCCACAAATTACAAAGGTGAAGCCAGGGGAAAACCAGTGCAAAAACAATACAGCCATATAAGGAGAGACAAGATGCTCTTCTTTCACCACATTAAGCATAAGTGTCAATGTGAGCCACCTGTTTTCACTTCAGTAGGTTTCAAAGTGTTACCCCAAAGTAATAGACCTTGTACTAAAGGTCAGTACCTAAAATTTGAGTGAGCAATTTCATTCCAGAGAGCAATCAAAACTAGAAAGGTTGAAGAGACATGTAAAACAAATCTATTTACAAACAAAACCACATTTCTCACTTTTTTTCAGAGATACAGAAGTTTTTCAGAGATACAGAGATACTGGCAGAGAAACAGTTCTGAGAACTTAAAATGGGGTTTGGTCTATATTATTTATAATTCTAGATATACATATCTACAAGTTCATCAGTCTATATATACAACATTAGTTCTTTTCACTGAAAAGATCATCAAAACTGTATAATTTTAAAAACATAAAAATAGGTTGGCTTCCAAAGAAAATTCTAACCTAAGTAATCTTTAGACTCCTTTACAAAAGTAGTACTCTGTTATGTTTAAAATTCTATACTATGAACTATTAATTACTGACAAGAGGCCGAGGGTATCTGAAAGGTAAATGAAGATAAAGTGCTGCATAATTCCCATCCACAAATGTGCACACGAGTCCAGGCAGAGTACTCAGTAAATGCCTGGCACACAGCAAATGCTCCATGACTGTGAGCTATTATTAAGAAGGTACATACTGGGAAAATGATTCAATACACAAATAACCTCCCTCTCCTGCCCCCCCAAAAGCTTTGTTTTCAAACTTCAGTTCATTTGTTGTAACTACATAGGTTAACATATCAAACTTAATTACTTTTATAATGAATATATCAGAGAACCAAAAGTTGTTGTGAGCATCACTGATAATGTAGCTCTGAAGACTGAAAGGAACATGTAAAAGCTCAATACAGACCTACAAAGAGGACTGTGACCAAGTCTTTTAACTGCCTTGAACTTGCTCTTCTTAGTTCCTTTTTTGGCCTTGAAATTTAAACATTGAAAAAATTCACTGTCAAGATGCCAGTTATTCAAATGTTGTTCTGTAAAGTTATGGTAAGAATTCATAAAACAGAAAGATCAATGTGAGCTGGAGGCCTTGATGAAGGCTGAGTGAAGACAGTGGAGAAGTCTGAACTCCACCTTGCTGGACAGCAAGGAGACAGGGTGCTCCAGGCAGGTACTGGAGGCCATATAAAGATACAAAACCAAGACACCAGGAACAGAAAGGAACATTAAATAATTAGCATGTTCACTTGTGCCGTGGTGACAGAAAAGTAGTCAGGCACACCATTAGTCCAAGCCTGGCCACACGACCTGCACAAAGTAAAGCAGTAAGAAACCCAGAGGGTTCTCAAGCAGGAGAGACATGCAGTGAACACACCGATGGTGACATTCACACCTGGTGCTCAATAAACCTTGAGTGACATGTTCAGAATGCGAATGCACACAATGAAGTAAAAAGAGCAGCAAAAGACATGTTCCTGAGGAGGAACAAGAGAAACATCCTTCTGTGCTGACCGGCCACAGTGGCGATTTATCTGGTGTCAGCTTGGTGATACACCACGCAGCTCTGGTCTACTCTACCTGAGCTGGGCTGGCGCTGAGGCTCATGGCTGACCTGCAGAGCAGAGGCAAACTATGCCAGCACCAGCCAAGGGAGCACAACCTCCGGGTTGGAAAAGGAGTAACCTATTCTTGTGGGCAAAAACCTCAAATATTATTTTAAGATGAAAAATAAAAACAGATTAATACCTTTCTCTCCTCTCTTCTTTCTGGTCCGGTCTATGTGGTCCTTAAGCTGGATTCTAACTTGCCTTTCATTTGGCTGATCCCTTATAAAAGGATGTTTCAGAAGCTGCTCTGTGGAGGGCCGCTGCATATAATTCTTCACCAGGCACCCTTCTATAAAACTAAAAAATTTCTTAGACCTGTAAGAGAAAAGATCATCAAATTTCTACTGCAAAGAGCAAAGCTCCAAAATACCAGTAAGTCTGAAACCATACAAGAGCTTCAGAGTTCACTGTGAACATTCTGCAAGTGCACAGTAAAACTGTTAGGAGCCCGGGACCGTTGTGGATAAGAAGGATCACTTACACATGGTCTAAGAGTTATACCATACCACCACCAACACACCACAAACAGAAAGCTTTGAAAGCAGTCAGATTTAAATGAAATAGGTTTAAATGTAATGTTGCTTATTAATCATTTAATCACAGGAGTAGAGAAGACAAGGGGGTAAAGGGAGGCTTTTGTGAAAATGAAGGCAGACAGGATAGTAGATGTCAGGAACCTGGAAGACAAGGATGGACACGGAGATAAGGAGCTGGACTGACTAAGTGCTATGGCTCTTGAACCTGTTAACTGACATTTCAGTAAGTTCTCTTTGCTTAATGTACAGACATAGAAATACATAATAGTTCTGAGGAGGGCAATGACTATCACAAACATTTACCCTACCAGCTACTTCTACTTGTCCCTGTTTCTCCATGCCTGGCTCATGATGACCCCCATTCACGACCTTGCCCAAGACACTTACCCATCCTATCATTTGAGACTAAGTGAAGATATGATCTCTTTAGGTAAGTCTTTCCTTGGTAACACTCCACCCCTACATGCCTAAAGTTAGGAGTCTTTCCTCTAGGGCTGTCTGCATTTAATAGACTATACGCTTCACGTTTATGTTTATCTCCCTGCTGGGGTACAGGTCAGGAACGGATTCCTACTTTTCCACTTGTCGGCAATGCCCAACACTGAGTGTGGGCAGACCACAAGACGTATGTAATAAATTTTTGTTGAATGAATGAGTTGTTCAGTTTTTAGTTCAGTTCTTTCTAATTACTTCACTACTTTTAATAATCACTTCTATTACCTTGTATTTCCATTCAAACGTACCATTTTTTTCAATTCAACAAATATTGAAATCTCAATTTACATATGTTTCTGCTAGGCTCTGTAAGAAATACGCATAGGAAATAAAGTGGAGGAAATCTATGTATGCAGAAATAGCAGACATGTACTCAAACCTACAGAGGAAGAAAGAATACTGCTACAGGGGGTTAGCCAGCATAAAAAGGTAGGATAGCTGATATTCTACAAGTGGGAGGGAGAAGCTACCATTCCAGAGTGAAAGGAACAACATGAACAAAAGTAGAAAAGTGTAAGGGAGTAATGAATCGTTTTCTGATGCTAATATAAAAAGTGGAAAAGAACAGAATAACAGGTCAGAGTCAGCTCAGAGAAGGGTCTTCAAAGTCATGCAGCGAAGTTGTGACTTTATTCTGGGGCTACTGAGGAACATGGAAGATTCTATAGTTGTAGTGGAACTTGCTCTAAAACAGAGACTCCTAAACTCCAATGTCCTCAAAGACCACTTTGGGAGTTTATTAAAAAATACAAATACTGGGTCACTCCTCAGACCTAACAAACCAGAAACACTTTGAGGTTGGAACCCTAAATTAAAAGATTCCAAAGACATTCTCACATTCCATGTCTACAAATTAACATTTGGGAATCAATGATCTGCACAAAATCAATTGTCAAGTTCTACAAGAAGAGAATTCACTGATCACTTCTCCAAAACCAGCAGTTGGAATTTACATTGGTGGATAGGAAGACAGCAATCAGAAAGGAAAAAAAACATTATGTTTGCAATCATCTCATTCTTTCAGAATACCTGGGTAAAATGACAGCAATGATGTAAATGGATGAAAATGCATCTAATCAACTCTAGAGAAAATGTGGTATAAGTATGCAGGAAGAATTTGTCGTCATCTACATCTGTCTCTTTACATGACTGTATTATACACAGAGTGGTTAATCTGAAACTGCAAGTAACAGACAGAATAATCAGAGTGGGGCCAACTGACAAGCCTTGTGAATTGTGAGGTACCCTGAAGACAGAGCATAACCTCCCTTTAATAAAAATAGCATTATTTGGTTTAGCTAGATAGTATTACCCCACCCCTAGAGCTTACTCCTTGGTGATGTCCTCCGTACACATTTGGTTTCCCTAGGGTTGGCCACCATTGATGTCCATAGTTATCATGTTTCAAGACAAGAGACCAAGTGGGGCTAAAATCTTGACAACTGTATGGCTTGAGAGAACTCTCTAAAAACTGGTAAGTGGAACTAGATAAGCTCAGTTATCTGGAGTTGACAGTGGTTAAAGACAGTATAAATAGAATGAGAAAACTCTTGCCAGCAGACAAAAGGTGGGGAAAGACAGTGAGGAACAGGGAGAAGCATGAAAGAAAAAAGTGAAAATACGTGTGTGCGTGTAATGTCCATAGATGGGAAAAGAAAAATCACAGAACATCAGAAGATGAGCAACAAAGAAGAGCAGAGTAATGACTAAAAGACCAAATCCAGAACAGAACTGAGATCTTTCACATACTTCAGAATTAGAGTCAGGAATGTGAGAGGAAATAGCACTCATTGAAAAAGGAGTGAAAATAGTTTCAGAAAGGGAAAAAAACACGGTAGTAGTAGGTGGGCACTAGTGAGACAGATGTGCCCCGGAAAACAGGAACAGAAAAAGGGGTGAGGGCCCACATGCATGAGGAGCCTGAGTGGAGACAGAAGTGAGAGGAAAGGACTCAAAAAAAGTCAAGGAGGAACAAGGGAGCATCATTCTCAGGTGAAAACAAAGCACTACCCTCTCCCTTAAAGACTTTTAAAACTAAACCAAACCAACACTTTTCCACACCGATACAATTCTTAAAGCATTCACGAGGAAGGTCACCATCATCTCCCTTCACTGATAAGCGACTGTGGTTTAGCAAGTGTGTGAGAGCTGCAGGGAGAAAGAAAGGTGGCAGCCCAAATAGAGGACCATTCCTCTCATTTCTGAAATGAAAAAAGATACAAATAATTTCAACGTTTTGTAATAATTACAGTTAAGTGCCTCCATTCACGTTCAAATCCTATTGTACGTACCCGAGGAACTACAAACGCAGTACAGCTTCGCTTTTTAATGTGAAAATGCTTCGAAATATACTTAAAAGTGGGCTTAAATATTAAAATAAAACTTTTTTTCTTTAACCATGTTACAGTATTTCATGTGGTCGCTTGTTACTATTTTGTAATTGAAGGAAAATTTATCAAGAGAAAACCATTTTAACTGGTGTTTCAGTGTCCTGGCTCTTATGTTCTTTGGGAATGAAAATGGCCACAATTTTGCCTTGGTGTGAAACTGAAAAGGAACAGTTTGTTTTAAAAAAGGAAACAACAACAACAACAACAACAACAAAAGCATACATAGCTTACCATTTTTTTGACTTCAGCCTGGGAGGAGGGTTTCTGGGAATGAGAAACAGTGCTCTCATTGGATGCATGTCACAGAGAGCTGGGGAGAGGAGATGGTTGTGTCAGTACGGCACTTATTTTACTTATTTTTAATTTCTAGGGCTCACTCTAAATATCAAATGTGCTGTCCCATCATCTGACTGATAATCTTTATGTCAAGCAGTTTAGATATCCAGCTATGAACCCTAGGATATACCTTGAATTTCCCCTTTTTAAACACAGCAAAAGATAAGGAGGTCAAGAGCAACAAGAAGAACATACAATTTCAAATTGACATTGGAAAGTTTTCATAAATCAGAGATAAACAAGGATTCAAAGTCTTAAAAGAGTGAATAGCTTAAGTTTCTAAACCATCTATAAGATCTCTATGAAAATAATTTTGTCTTAGGGTCACTGTGAGGATTAAATCCGATGCTGCTTGAAAAGGCATTCACATAGCGCCTAGACATGGCAATAAGCCCAGTGAAGCCTCCAGAAATGTTAACTGTTCTTTTGCTGCAGCCACTGTTACTAGGAAGGAACAACGACGAGAGAATAAAATGGATTGTTTGATCTTGTGTATTTACAGTTTATATATCTATCACTTGTCCATAAAGGCATAGCAGGTATAAACACACATATTAGTATGTCACAATAGGTAATGTGCATTTTTGTGTGTTTATTTACCTTCGTAAGAATCTTACAAGGCAGCTGAGAAATGGGGGCCAAGAAGACAATCTATTCCCACTGTGAAAGAAAACTGAAACAAAGGATCCGGCAACACATCCCTGTCTCAGTTCCTCAGAGGGAAACATGAGGAAACATGGTGTTCAAGACTGACATCCAATTTTTTACCGGAAACTATTTTTTAGCCATTGGAAATTTTTTTCATTCATTCAACAAATATTTATTCAGCAGCAACTATGTAGCATGACAGGCATACATTCTTTGTGTATCCCATTTTTTAGGAGGATCAGCAAATAACGCTATTTTGTCCCTTTGTTCTCGGCAATTCTACCCATTTCTGCTCAAAAATCGATTTTATGAAGTTGTCATTGATTTAACCAAAAGGAAGAAGCAAATTTCACACACACAAAAAATTATTCTACAGATAAAAACTCAGGCCTCTATTTGTAAAGTAATAACATAAGTATTACTAAAATGTCATGTGTTAGGACCAGTTTCATGTGTTAGGATTTATTTTCACTACAGTTTAAATGTGAAAAGAAAAATTACTGTCTGTTACCTGATGTCTGCATAATTTCAGGTCACACATCTAAATACAACTTACATAAAAGATTAAATGTAGCCTGCAGACTTCAGGGATCTTCAAAAGGAAGAGTGGATGCCAAGAATCCTTTTACACCTAAAACTTCACTGTACTTATGATTGTTTCCACTAAATGTCCCACCAAGAAAGGCTTTATCCATGAAGTTGTTCTTTTTGAAGCCTTGAGACTAGTTTTAAGTCACATAGAACAACTGGGCTAAAAAGGAAAAATACATTACTTACGGGGAGCACCTTCTGCCATTTCAATGGCTGTAATGCCACAAGACCAAAGGTCACTCTGCAAAAATAAAACAGTGTGTTACAGCTACTGGATGAGATAGGAAGCCACTAACTTATCACTGCTGATTAGTCACACTAATGATTTAAAGACATTTTTTGGTATATAAACTGAAAAAAAGCTTGCCAGAAAATTAAAAGCATACACACATATGTAAGAATACTTTCCAAATAAATGAATGAAAAAGTAAATATAAAGTTGATTTGTTGATTAGAACCACTCGCATCTATGACTGAACTAGAGACGGTCCATGTAAAAGCTTCTTGGCCACTGCATGCTCTGTTGTTCAGTGTGTCTCCTCATTTCTTTATGTTCAATCATTTAGACTCCTGGCCCAGATTTATGTTTAATTTTATGATTTATGTAACTATCTCAAACTTAATTAAGATGTTAAAATTTTAAAGGCTAACTTGAAACTAATATATACTTTATGTTAATTATACTTGAATTAAAAAAATAAACTTAAAATAAAAGTTTATAGGCTAGAAAGGCTTCTTTATAAAAGGTCCACAGTTGAATGGACTAACTGTAATTGCAGTGCTGAGCCTCTCCACTCTTGCCTCAAACTTAATAAGGAGTGAGCAATAAGCTGCCTTTCTATGCATGGAATCTCTTTTTCTCAGTCATCTGAAATATTAAAATTTTAACTTTATTCCCCAGTCAAATACAAGTTCCATGAGAGCATTTTTGTCTGTTTTATGCACCTTTGCTTCCCCCAACCTGTGACTGGCATGTGGTGGGACTCAATAAACACTGGCTGATGAATGATCGAATCAAGTTTTATCAGCCAATTTCTTAAAATCCAAACCAGATTTTTAAAAAGCAGACAATTGGGTAGTTATTATCATTAGCATTCTTTTGTTTATATGCTATATTCTAATGAAAGATTTACTTAAAGTTGCTCAGTTTAAGCATTTTCTAAGTAACCTATAATTATGTTACACAATTCAAACACGTTTGATTACAAGAAGAAGGATAGGCCCACAAATTTCTCCCATATTTTGATGAGGTTTTCTACACTGTAGAACGCAAAGAAAGGGCTTCACCCATCTTGACCCAGGGACTAAGCTCAGAAGCACCAGTGGCAGGATATACAGATGTTCAGGCGCCCTGGTGTGATGCGGCACAAACCACAGCCATCTCCGGAGGCAATCCTGCCTTAGGTTTTTCTTGATACTAATGAAATGTCTCCAGTTTATTAGAAACAAGATGCCTTAACAAAGATGGTAAAGTTAAAATTCAAAACTGGAAGACAAATCTAGATGGTGGAATACTGCCTCTTCAACAAGTCAGTGTCATGAAAAAAAGGGGGAGGGGGGTGGCTTGTAGGCCTTGATTAAAAGATATGCAGTGGCCAAACAACCAAATACGGATGCCTTGTCCTATATTAAACACTCATTTGGATAAGCCAGGCATAAACCAGTTGGGTTTAATTACAAACTCTGTACTATGAAATTATTTTTAATTTACTTAAGCATGGTAATATTTTGGGCACACTGGAAAATGTTTTTGAAGATATGTAATAACGTAATAAAGAGTGAAAAGTCACACAGTATAGAATTTATTGTAAAATACTCCAGCATGTTTAAAATAAAGTAAAAATTCCTCCATATCATATGCTTAAAATGAGCCTCATTAATTGGGTATTTATTATAAATACCAAAATACACTGGTGAGTGTGAAGATATGAACTCAATTTTGAATACCGTCAACAGGTACATAAACACTCTGACTCATTTAATTACAGCAAGGGAATTTAAAAAAACTTCCGTAAACATTCAAACTGAATCTGATGATCAAATATGGGCTTTACATTGGAAATAAAAAAGTGCATTATTGATACAAGTCCCTAGAGGTCACTCTAATAATTTAAATGTATCTGTACACCAAATCAAAGCTGTAAAGCTCTTTAACAATACTCTAAAATTTCATATAGATGAAGCTATTGTTATATATATTCCAAAAACATCTGATTATATTCTTCAAGTTTAAAAGAATGGCAAACAAGGCAGAAGCATTTAATTTACTGATGACAAAAAGCTCTATGCATAAGACAGTGACTCGCATTGCCCTGAAAGCAGAATATTATTTAGTAAGGAGAACAGAGGTGATGGGGAATGAACAATAACAAGACGGCATCTCAACACTGTCCCAGAAAATCTGCACCTCCAACGAAGTCTCCAAGTCATCCTCACTGAAAAAGCGGTAAGCTTTCTGTAAGCAGAGCCCCCATCCCTCAGGAATGCCAGGGATCCAGCGAAGGACAACAAAGTAGGCGACTCTTACTCTGTAATCGTAGGTGGCATCTGGGTTCTCATCACAGGCAATGACCTCAGGAGCCATCCAGTAGGGGGTGCCTATGAATGTATTTCTCCTCCCAACCGTCCTGTCGAGCTGAGCACTCACACCGAAATCTACTGAGGGAGGGAGAGAAAGGAAGGAGTAGGACATGATTAGCAAATGAAGAAAGGTGAGGAGGAGGGATCTTCAGAGTAACCTCAAGGAGTAATACTTCATGGACATATAAACTCCTCAAGGCCACCAGCGTGGATAAGGAGCAGTCTCCAGAGCAGAGCCACTAAAATGACAAAATCCTCTACCAGTCTGCCAGCTCCTGGGAGGCTGGGACCCAGTCACTTCCCTGAGCTTCCATGACAGTGACCACCAGAGAGACTTTTGGATGAATTAGGACGTTCGGTGCTTGCAGGAAACATGCCCACGGACAAACAAGGTCAAGTCATAGAAAGCTCCAAGTTCAGGAGAACTAACACCCACATGACTTAGCTTCTGAGACAGCACTGACCACAGAAAGAGAAGAAAGCCACAAAGGTTATCTGGAAAGAACACAGTAATAAATTCAATAAAGAATCAAGCTATATCACAAATATACGAAGAAACACCCCTCAAAGTACCTGCGACTTTTCAATTTTTCAGAGTAACCCCTATATCCTACTCAGCTGACCAACGAAGGTGGTCTAGAGGAAAGTTCAAGGGTGGGAGGCAGAGCTGACACGAAAACCATGGTCTCTAATGGAATGTTTGCCAATGACATCACTGTATACTGCCATCACCCCTAGGAGGACTGCACGATGGTGGAAGAGTTTATGCAGAAGGGCCTACAGAGGACTGAGGTCACTCAGGGGAGTTGGGTTATAGATTCAACTTCTTTATGTACATTTCCTAAGATCACTCAGGAAGCCACCTGGCCAAGAGATGGGCTCACATGCTAAGGGCTCCTGAGACAGACACATGCATCAGGCAGCGTGTGCTGTTTGCAGCAACCCAGCAGTCTCAAGTGATCACCAAGTGATTACAGAGAATATCGCAGGCCTGGCACCAGCGGGCCAGTGCAGGGAACACACATAGCTTGCCGAGTCACTGGGAATGAGAACAATACAAGTGTCTCCTATTTTAGTTTTGGGGTTTATTTATTTATTAATTTATTTAATTTCTGAGAGAGAGAGAGAAAGAGCACGTGAGCAGGGGAGGGTCAGAGAAAGAGAGGAGACATAGAATCTGAAGCAGGCTCCAGTCTCTGAGCTAGCTGTCAGCACAGAGCCCGACACGGGGCTCGAACCCACAAACCACGAGATCATGACCTGAGCTGAAGTCAGACGTTTAACCAACTGAGCCACCCAGGCGCCCCTCCTATTTTAGTTTTGAGGGGACTTCCCAAATGGGCACACTATTCCTCCACAGACGACCAATAAATGCAGGTATTATGCAAGAAAGCAATAATGAAGATTTTAAGGTGTAACTATGATGCATAAGATTTTTAAAAGATGGAGTAGACCCTTAAAAATAGAAAGAATTTTTCTGTGTGATGCCTTAGTGGAAGAAAACTTACTGCTAATTCTGTCTAAAAATTTGACAGAACCATTATATAAAAGTGGGACTGAAAAAAGTTCAAATCCAGGTAAGGGAAACAGGAAATATAGAAGAACCATTATAAAATCATCTCCAGGAAAACACTTTGGACTTCATCCATTTACACATCCACACATAAATTTATTGAGCACCTACTACATCTAAGCTAGGTGACAGATAAGAATGCTTTCGTAAATAAAACTATCCTAGTTGCTACACTCCCAGAAATTATTCTGGTAAAGAAGTCAGAAATATAGTTAAACAAATAGCTGTGTAATTATAAACTGTGATCAGTATTAATAAGGAGACAAGCAGTGGGACCCAATAGAGATCAGAGGGTCTGGGAAGGCCTTTGAAGTTGAGGAAAAAACTGCAACTTCAAAACTGTTCCCAATTGGGAATAGTGTATGCAAAGACCCCGAGGGAAAGTCTAAAGAAGTTTAAAAATGAGTGAACTGAAGAAGAGAGAAGTAAGGATGGTCACAAAGTGGGGCTGGAAAATAGTAGGAGCCATGGCTTTTTATGGGCCATGGTACGAAATGTACATTTTATTCCAGGTGAAAAGGAAGCCACTAACAGTCTTTTAAGGAAGAAAGTGATGGGATCTGATTTAAACAGTAGTCTATTGTATGGCGAGCAGAACAGAGGAGAGAAGCATGGGGGAAGGGAGGCTGGAGCCAGACAAAGTAGTAAGCCCAGTTCTCACTTCTTAAGTAGAACAGAAAGATGAAATGTGGGTAACAGACTGAGTTTTTAGCTAAATGCTAATGAGGTAGGGAGAGTTGCTGGTCTGCACCAGGGGCAAGTATTAGATCACGTGACACGCGCATCACATACCAAGTTTCACCTCAGCATTCTCCGTCAGCAATACATTCTGGCCCTTGATGTCCCGGTGAATCACATGATGGATATGAAGATGCGCCAGTCCCTGAAGAGGAGAGACAGATTTGAATTTTAGTTCTTTGTTGCTGCAAATAGCCAGGAACACACTTTTCATAACAAAATGCATGCCAAAAGTTTTATGAACCATATTTGGAACATAATATAATTCAATCTTGGTACATTTCCGTAAAGACATCACAGTAGTACCGCACAAACAGAAAGACGTACCCATTCCCCAGTTCCAATGGGTTAGGTCCCCTGTGTGAGCAACATCACCCGTTTCTAGCTGCTCCTTGAAGATATGCTCTAGATTACCATCTGCAGTTTCTCTGCTGTAATTTGTGCTATTTGTGTACAGGGTGGTTCCTTTCCCACGCTACACATCCATCTTTCAGTGGGTGACCCCATGGGTATATTTGAACTAGACCCATCCCAGGGGAAAAGCAAAGAGCCAGAGAGGGTTTCAAGTCTGGCTGTTGAACACTGCCTAGTTTTCCCACCACATGGTGGGAAATTGCTAACTGCTGATCAATCCCACCTCCACGCCAGCGTAAAAAAATTCTGCCATCGAAAGAGCTTTATGTTCAAATAAAATATCCTTCCTTCCCAAGGAAATAAACCCTACTAGGCATATAGCATTTTCTGATGACCTTGTATCTGGAGTGAAGCCCAAGAGCACATCTCTTAAGAGAGGTGGTGGGAGAACAAAAACACATTCTGCATCCAACAGATGCCTGACAGAAAAAAATGTGTCATTCTCACAACTCCTGTACTTCTTCTGTCTTCAGCTAGAGAAGCCAAATCTGTAGGCTGTCTCCTGAAGATACAAGCAACCTACTTATTCTGAAATGTCTCAACTCAAAAAGGCCAGATCAGAAGTAAAGGTTTATTTAATTTTCTGGCTTGATTTTTTTTGTGTAAGGTTTTACTTGTTATCATTACTGTGTAGGATAGGTGTTAAATATAACACCTATCTAGCTGCTCTAGAATACTAATTTTTCTAGCACAGGGGGTTTCTAAACAATAATTTACTAGTCTGCATATAAAGCAGAAAAGAGCTTACTTGATGGCCCTGTTTATCTACCCTCCCCCCCACCCCGGATGTGCAGTGTTACACCACAAAGCACTGACTAGAGAGAAAAGGCACTAAAAATACATGGTATGTTAGTGCTATAGTTAGGAAGAAAATCTCTCCTTTCAGCATGGCAGAATTTTGAACAGCAAAGAAAAACAAACAAACAAAAAGTAGCTTCCCTAATTCCTTCATAATCCCTACTTCTATTATTTCAGTTCATTTTATACTCTTTCACAGCCCCCTTCTTTTACTTTTACAGGATTACCTTAGCAACACAGAAGTATCTACATCTTCTCAAACAAATATGGCCTGCATGTACTCTTGTTTCTTACAAGCAATAAACTTTAAAAACATGTACTTCCTGGCCCTAATGCTAAAGGACTGATGTGTCTCCAGGTGAAACCACTCAAGGTGCCTCTAATAGCTCATAGGCAGTGTAAACTTGAGTTATGATTATTCCGAATGAGTACATCTTTCCCTGTATGAAGAGAAAGAATGCATGTTCAACTACTGCCATGCCAAAAGTTAGGCCACAATTATTCCTCCTTAGCAAAGATAAGTCCAAATATACACTAAATACCATCCTAGAGCAAATGCATCAATGTTTCAAAACCAGAAAACATTTCTCCTGTAACTCTATCTCATGCATGGACATAGAGCAAAGGAACATCGAAGGCTGTCCTTTAGTAATGGTCATGAAAGGCTCACAATGAATATCAGTTTCTACTAAAATGCATCAATGGCTGTGTAGACTGTAAATGTGGACGTGGGCTGGAATGAACATGCTGGCTTTGTTGATAAACGTTTGGTCAAGAGTTTCAGTGGGCCAAAGAGAACTTTCCTACTGATGTCTGAGGCCTACATGCTCATGACTCTCAGCCTTTTGGGGATCTTAACACAGTAACAGCCTATGAATCTAACATCTACTAAAGAAGGTAGACAAGTTTTGCTGCTGCAGAAATTAGCTAACCCAGCAGTGTTGTCTTTGAGAACCCAGGCTATCCACTTGGGCTGGCTGCCTTCCTTTTCCAGAACAGGAACATATTGCTTTCTCTTTACCAAAGTGGACTCAGTGGTTCCTGTGAAAAAACACACACTAGCCTGTGATGCACTGACTCTTTCAGAGGCTTGTTTTTAGTTCATTTAGACTTTGGTCGTAGAAAAAATTGCCATCCTAGATGAAATGTAAATGAAGGAGACTCTTGTTTCACGTACCCACTGAGGTGGAAAACATTTGATATATCTCAGAAGGATGTCCATTAAGCTGTTATGGCCATTCCAGGGCCTCAAACAACCTGGGTGTCTTTGAAATAATGTCTGAGATCAATGGAAGTAAAATAACTAAATATACTTACTACATGATCAGTAAAAAATGCTTGCCTGTGTACATAAAAACATGTTAGTTGTCTCTGATGACAGACATTTGACACCTAGGACATTTACACTAAAACCTACTTCTCTGCTTGAGAAATCCTACACTGGAATTATGTATAGAAATGATGTGCTTAAGTGTATGTTTATAATGGAGAACAAGGACAACAACTAATATTTACTGACAATCTGTTATGTACCCACAGTACATGAAATGACCTCATATATAACAACTCGTTTAATTCTTATAACAATGACATTTCTTCATAAGGTTGGTATCTAAATTTTACAGATGAAGAAAGTAAGTTCTTAAAGGGGAGTAACTTTGCCAGGGGTGTGTATTAGGTAAGTAACAAAGGCAGGACTCAAACCCACATCTGACTCACTCTATCACTGTTCTCTCCTGCGGACCACGCCAAGGGTTTTAGTTAATATAATAAATACATCTGCCCACTTGCTGAACTTCTTCACAGCAGCACAGGACGGGATACTTAGTTTTCCACTTTGACTCTGCTTTCAAAACTATAAAAGACAGGACTCTCATATTTTCTTAACGAAATCTGAGTGTGATGATAAAGAGAAGGTTCTCCCACCTCACCTTATGACTAGTTTTCTTATGGGAACTGCCTATTTTCAAGAGCTTCATAAAGTATCTAAAATAAAAAGGAATTCAAACTCATCTCTGTGAATTCTAGATGGCATTCTTTAAACCCGCAGTCTTCTAAGAAATTTAAATGTAAAAGTAGGGTAAATCTATCTATAAATAAAAAATACAGTAACCATTTATTAGCGAGAGAAGCATAAGAATCAGATTCCAGTTTAACTCCAGTCTTTATTCCTTAAATGTGGTGGGTAAATGAAATCCAAGCAAGTCATCCAAACATGTAGTTCAGGGGTAGCGCCACTGGGACAGCTGGCCAAGGGGAAGAGGCTCGCTGCCGGTAACCCACATGCACTTTCCAAGTGCAAACTACACAGGCCCTCTGCCTGCCGTGTCTGCGCAGCGCCACTCCTGAATGCGATCAGTTAGGATCTGCTAAAACAGTGCTTCAAGACGTTAACATCATAAACTGGCTTTCAAACGGCTATAAACAACATTAAACATTAGAACTTCCCCTCGTAAACACTGCAACAAATTCTCAGAGTTAATGCCAAAGTCCACAGGATGATTCTGAAAGCCAGTGTTTGGCATCATTAATATTGATTCATCAGCTTTAGATACAGGATTCCTATAAAAACAATAGTTAGAGGCTATTTCTTTTCCTTTGGATTTTCTTTTTAACACCTGGAGGATGAATTCAGGGAAATACAGAAAAACTATTTTTGTTTGAGTCTAGTTTCTTCAGATACTTGTCACAATCAAAACCATGATGTAGCTTAAACAATCAAAGCCAGCCAGTTATACAGAGCCCTTGGCTGTCATGAAAAGAACAATCTGTACAGTTATAGCTAATGCAAAGAAATACTTAAGGCTAGGAAAATGAAAATGGAAACACAAGACCATGTCCGAGGCATTACAGACTCTCCCTGCTCCTTACCCTCAGGATTTCTCTGGAGATGTAAGCTATCCAGTCTTCCTTGAGTGTGTTCCCTTTGGTGTTCTTCACAAGGTCTGTAATGGACCCAGCCCCGCAGAACTCCATAACAAGCTACAGGGCAGACAAGACACACCATGACATGCACATCCTAGCAGTCAGTGAGAGCATCACAGCTATCAGTACACACTGGAGGGAAGTCAGGAAAGCAGTCTAACCCCTTCTGCCTTCCCTAAAGAAGGGATCGTCTGGGTACATGATCATCTTGGAAGCATCCAAATTACTGACAGCTCGTTTCACCATTCAATTAATTCACTGTGTTATGTCTGATCCAGGAGATTTAAGAATTTCTGATATTTTACAGCACATCCCCACCCCCCCACTCCCACCCTAGTGCAGAGATTCTTAAGTGTTCTTCTTCTCTCATAAGCCTGTGGGCGTGGGAGGGCCACTGTGTCCTTAATCAGTGCCTAAGTATCAGAAATCTGACGGAAATACTCTAACATCTTCTCTCATTTGCCAGAGTCAAAGATGTTCTATCTTCCATACATTACGATTCTCAAACTTTCATATTAAGAGAAATGCTATTTTAAGCAGTGCATAATTTTAAAAATATGTTTACAATACCTAAATGTTTATACAATATGAACATAAGTATATTTTTTTAAGTACCTAGAAAATGGATTGAGCTATTCTAAAATTTTAACTTTGATTGGATTTGGGCAATAAAAATAAATTGTTTCTCTTTTGCCTTAATTTTGCAAATTTTCTATGATGAGTTTTTAAAAATTAGAAAAAGTATTTACCTTCCTGCTTTACAAATCCAGTACCTCAGCATAACTCATGTGATAACTATAGATCTGACAGCATGCCAGGGTCATCATCTTCAGTAAAGATGTGGTTCAGTAAAAGATAACACTGAATGTTTATCAGTTCTAGAAATTTCCCTGGAATTTACTGCTTTCAATTAGTTGTCATCAATATTATTAACAAATACTGTTTTAACTTTGTTTTCTTGTGATTTGTCCCTTTACTTCCAGGTGATAAAGAAGACAGATTTAGTTGAGCTTCCATACTAATTAATTTCCATAAATAAAGTTTTTATTTTTGGTTTTATTTTCAAGCTCCTAATTTCCTTGCTTTTTGGTTACATTACTTTTAAAACGTGCCATTTTATTCCTGAAACACGAAGATAACTTTTTTCCATGCAATGTGAAACCAACATAAAAATAAACTTTCAGACAATAATGTTTAACCTTTAACCAAGAGAGTCGAGGAAGATGCCAGGCACTACCCCCTGTGTCTTTGCTTTTTCCTCCCTCCCTCTGGAAGGTCCTTAATATCCTTCTAGTACAACTAAAGAGGAAACCCCACAAAATCCTCGGGGAACATTTGCCTACCCAGAGTTGGTCATCATGTCCTGGAGGGCTCTTTTTAATGAAAGCACCGTAATATGTTGCAATATTTCTATGATGAGAGTATTTCTTCAGCATATTTATCTCCAGTTTGATTTCTTCCTCTTCATCCTTAAGAAAAAAATAAAAATAAAATGTGCGGCTTTTGAATGATGTGCATGATTTTACTTTCCCCACATACAGGCAATAACACAAGTTCCCCGTCCCAGAGAGAGAGAGAAATACATTTCACTTTATCCTAGTGACAAGAAACTGGGGACTTTAACAGGACTCATCCTTTGAAATGTAATTACAAGCTATGCAAGAAATACAGAAGCATTAAGAGTTACAGATGTATATAAGAGGTAGCATGGAGCAGCTCTTCCATTAAGTATGATCTTTGAACCCTACTTTGCTCATCTGTAAAAATGGGAGAAAAAAAAGAGAACTGACTGATACTATTTCAACTAATTATAAGGAAAAGTTGTTTCTTTTCTAGAAAAGGTTTGTGTATGTAAATCATCTGGCACACCTAAGGCAGAAAAGCTTCCCCTGTTATAACCTTGCACAAAGCATTAACTTCTGGTGTAGCCACAGGCAGATTACTGAATATAGACTAACACTGCAGGCCCTGGATGGATGGCATGCTTAATGAGATCCACTACCCCAAAAAGAGATCCAGGTGAGTCTGGCGAGCCACAGCAATAAAACATCACTCAGTGACAGCAGGTTGTTTTAGACTTGGCTCATCCCCCAGCCTCTTGTTTTATTAAAATAAGATGAGCCAAGGAAGAAATGAAGAAGATCATGTTATAAAAGATCAGAAGGAGAATGAAAGAAACAGATGGTGACACAGGTGTGGAAAATAAAAATAAGTTGTCCTTGTGAATGGTGAGGGCTGCCAGTCTCCACCTTTCTCTGCCATACACCCCTGGGGCAGTACCTGCAACAGCATGGGCATCCTGTCCCTTGCTGCATACACATGACACAGAGAGGGTCTGCCAAACTACCTGCAGGGTTATGTTAAGTAAGATTTATGGACGGCATGAGAATGATGGGAAAGCAGAATTAAAGAGGAGAGAAGGTGGAGGAAAAGAGAAAAACAGCCCTGGAGAGAAAAGTGGCATCTGAGGGAAGATCTTTGGGGAAAAACTGGGTAATCAGACCTCTAGAATTCCCTTTACTACATATATTTTCAAAAGGAAATAATGACCAGTGCCCTAAAATGTCTTCATTTTTATAAACTGACATGCTCATTAGACTTAGAATTGATGTTCTTCCTTCTCCAGGAAAGACTCAGGGTTTTTGAGCAGTCAAGGTGTGCGTGAGTGTAAAAGACAGACAGTGCACGTGAAAGCACGTGCATGCACACAGGCTGAAGAAACCTACTATCACAGCCTCGCATCTCCAAACCCCATTCACAAGGCCTCATGAATCTTAAGTTTGGTTTTTAAAATACTGTTAAGATAAAAGCTACAACACTATTAATTAGATATTAGTGATGAGGCCAAGTGAAAAAAGAAAATTTCTCAAAATATAACTTCCAATTGTACACTACTGCTTTAGAAACCGAATATGTAACAAAACATGAAATTATCTTAGCACAATGATTCTTAAGATGGTGGCCTCCAGCTTGGTCCCCAATATATTAGAATATTACAGCATAGGGGCGCCTGGGTGGCTCAGTAGGTTAAGTGTCCGACCTTGGCTCAGGTCATGATCTCACGGTCCGTGGGTTCGAGCCCCGCGTCGGGCTCTGTGCTGACAGCTAGCTCAGAGCCTGGAGGCTGCTTCACATTCTGTGTCTCCCTCTCTCTCTCTCTCTCTCTCTCTCTCTCTCTGACCCTCCTCTGCTCCTGCTATCTCTCTGTCTCTCAGAAATTTAAAAAAAAGAAGAAGAAGAATATTACAGCATATTAATAGGCATAGCTGTCATGTGACTTTGGCAGATGGTGACTGCAAATACAGAGCAGAGTCACATGGCCAAGTAGAGTCCATATAACAATCTGTGTACTAATCCACATTAATAGCTTTATCTTATGCTCTTTCCACACGCTCACATACACACGCAAAGTGTATAATGACCACAACTTGCTAGCACACAGCACATGAAGCCTGCTCTATCCAGAGGTACCACAACTTACAACTCATTCCCAACAACAGTATCTGGGAGCAGTCCAGGACAATCCTAACGGGACTTGTCAAGATCAATAGGTTCCTAACAAAAAAACAGCACATGACTACGGCCAATACCAAGCTCCTGTTGGAAATGCACGCAGTGTCACTTCTGGAACAAGGGCTGTGGTTAAACGTGTTGTTCCCTGAAAAGTTAAACATCCCACTTTCCTTAAACTGGACTACAATTAGATGATGAGAAAGTCGGCTAAAGGTTTGATTTTTTTCTTTTCACCCAAAATTATCAATGCAGAAAGATCTGGGGTTGGGGCGCCTGGGTGGCTTAGTCGGTTGGGCGTCCGACTTTCGCTTGGGTCATGATCTCACGGTTCGTGGGTTCGAGCCCCGCGTCAGGTTCTGTGCTGACTGCCAGCTCAGAGCCTGGAGCCTGTTTCAGTCTGTGACTCCTTCTCTCTCTGACCCCGCTCATGCTGTCTCTCTCTCCCTCTCTCTCTCTCTCCTAGAAATAAAAAACATTTAAAAAAAAAAAAAAAAAAGAAAAAGAAAGATCTGGGGTATAAAGACTACACAAAACCAAAAAGAACAAGGATGAACTAAAATAGGAGAAAATCAAAATACTGATTTCAATTTTGTATTTGTAGCCAATCATGCCATGCAGTATGTGCATCTTAATGGGTTGCACAGATTTTGCTTTTATTGATTCATCCCTAACTACCTCCTTTCTGCCTCCCATATTGGCTAGATTATTCCAAGGGTCATTTTTCTGTATGATACTCTGCCAATAAGTTTCACTTCTTTTTTTTTTTTCTTTTCTGAGAGAGAGAGACAGCGTGAACAGGGGAGGATCAGAGAGAGAGAGGGAGATGCAGAAAATGAAACAGGGTCCAGGCTCTGAGCTGGCTGTCAGCACAGAGCCCGATGGGGGCCTCGAAGCCACGGACTGCAAGACCATGACCTGAGCCGAAGTCGGACGCTTAACCGACTGAGCCACCCAGGCGCTCCTAAGTTCCACTTCTTGACAGAAAGCAAATATTACCTACAATTCTCCCATGAGAAGCTTCCTATGCAATAATTAAGGATCACAATATACTTTGATTACTTTCGATATATTTTTTCTTTAGCAACATAAACCAGTGTCTTCTAGGATCTGATTTGTTCACCACTCTTTTTTTAAGGTTCATCTATTTATTTTTGAGACAGAGAGATAATCCTAAGCAGACTCCACACTCAGTGCAAAGACGAAAGTGGGGCTCAATTTCATAACCTTTGAGATCATGATCTGACCCAAAATCAAGAGCTGGATGTCTAACCAAATGAGCCACCGTTGTGCCCCTTTCCACCATTCTTTATAAGAATTAAGAGCTTCCAGAGGTACGTGATGTTTTTACAGCCCACGGAATTGAAATTCTTATGCATTCTATAGACTTAAAAATTCTCATAGGCTTAAATTCAGTGCTCCACTGGTATGAAAGACACTTAATATGCATAATGGTAAATACTGCTGGCAGATGATCACAGCACAATTTACTTAAATCTAAGATGCCACTAGATAGAGACACTGAAGTATTTTATGTAATGAAACTATGTTCACCATCAACCATAAGACATACACTGTAACATTTTAAAAATTGGGCCACATATTAGAAACAATGAAATATAAAAACAACTTAAATAAAGTTTGGCAACAGGTTTTCTAATATAACTGAAACGTCCAAGTATTATCCCAGAAATGCAGTAATCAGATCAATGCCAGTTGCCAGAATATTTCTAAGGTTTAAGTAGTCAAATCCTGGAAGTATATGAAACTGAACTACCAAAAATTTTGAGAGGAAACCATATTGGCCTCTCAAACTAGTATTTTAGGAAATCGTTTATGTATACTTTTAACATTCCTTCTCTTGCTTCTGATTTCAAAATAGATGACTATCATACATCTTATAAAATAAAAGGGCATTTTAGCAACACTAATTGTCATATAGTGATTAAGAGTGCCCACCTTGGAGAAAAAGCATCAGAAATGCAAAATCTATCAATGGCTTTGAGCCAACTACAACTGGAATCCTAAATTGACTAATGTATATATTACATGTGGTCTTTGGAGTAACAATGAACCAACTTTTGAATTCAAATTTCCCTTTGGTCATTAGTTAAATACAAGTTTGGTGGTCTCATTCCAACATTTAAGCATGTACACACCACCACACACACCATTTAGCCTGAGAAAATACAGTAGAAAACAGTCGAGGCAGGCTAGAACTGAAATTTAACAACAACCCCGTATATGAAAGGAAGCAGAAGAGACAAATCAACATGACCTAAGACTATATATCCCATCTGTCTAGACCGAGTCCAAATGACCCTGCCCTTCGTTCTCTTTAGGAGTCCACAATCATACACAGATGCAAAAAAAAAAAAAAAAAGTAACTAGATAACTAGAGAGAGGGGAGAGAGAGAGAAAGGACGTTTTGGTGAGAAAAGGAAGGCTCCCTCCTGGTTTTCTCCATGATGAGGCAGCTGCTAGGCTCCACTCAGTGATTTAATGCAGCTGATGCCAATTAGCATTTTGGACTCCAACCAGGGGAGCCAACTCTTCTAGAAAAGGTCTTTGTCTCCAGCTGGAATAGGACTAGGCAAGGAGTTTTCTGTTGCCTTCCTTGGCTGCTTAGAGGATGGAGGAGGGGAAAACATCTAAATAGTGGTAATTTTCAAAAGCAGCTATGAGTTTGTAAATAAGTCATAGGGCAAGCCCTACCCACTCCACCATCTGATCACAGAGAAATGAATATTATCAGTGCGTTTTCAAAAAATGGCTCCTTAAAATGTTTTCTAAATTGTTACCCAAATTCCCTTTCCTTCCCCTAATGGCAGTAATGATGTGAGGAGGGGCAGGCAGACTTCAGATAAGCTAACTAGGGGGATCCAAGAGGACTGGGAAATGTTCTAAGTAATCATCGTTCTTCTCAGCATAATTCTTCATAGAAGTAGATCTACCCATT